TGTTGTATCTAGGAAACTTTTTGGCATGTTTGTAATATTGTCTGTTATTCGGTAGAAAATAGAGTTTAAGCGTCTTTTAATATGGTGTGTATGTGGGTACGCAATTGTGTTAGAAATAGGGTTTGTTTTCTATACTTTTACTAAAGTCTTTCTATAGAATTCTTCTCGCAGGACATTTCACTATATTCTGTACTGACCCCTTTTGAAAAACTCAAAATGCAATCATTTTACGGCCATAAATATATTTTTATTATACATAATATTATTTCCAAGTAGGCGTCTTAAATTTCATGTTCTGTTAAATGTTTTTTTTTCCGAAAATACTACAATGAAAATATTTAATTTAATGTTTTTAATATTATGCTATGCATTAATGATTTATGACCCGACAATCGGATTTTCATTTTAAATACTTGTTCTTTCTCCATCCATATGTTGTGACAGCTTATATAGACTCGAAACGTGAAAGCCACAAATGTACGATCTTCGAAATCTGTTTCAAGGAAGAAAGCTACATGCTGGTCTCCAGCAAGAGTTTGAGTCTTTATTATTCCGTCTAAAAGAGAGAATTGTCCACTCTAAACTTTCAAGCTGTTGTAGCTTTTATCGATAACCCATTCATGTGAGAAAGCCGGGAAAATTTACCACAGAATATATCTTCAATTCCCACCTATTATTTTACTGTGTTTTTACACCAGCTGTCGGGATATGTTGGAATTGACCAGAGATCTACTCACTAACATTATGATTGTTGATCACAGCAAAATTTGATCCTATTCAAATGGTTTCCACTCCTCATCCGTAAACCTTACTAAAGGGCCCAGCAATTTATTTTTCTTTGCTAGAAACTAGTTTATGTTGATTCAAAGTTTTCTGGGTGTCGATTTAGTCTACTTATCAAATAATAACCAAGATACGCAAATTCATGCATCTAACTCTATCCTTATTGCTGACATTCTACACAAATGCATGGTTTTTACAAGGACCTTTTATCCTCTAATTATCATTATGACATCGTTAGGTACTAATTGGCCAGAAATAACAAGCTAAGTAAAATGATTCGAGCAATTGTGTCTCTTCTCTTAAAAGACTGACTTGTTTTGTCTTGTTGCCACTTAACTTTCTATTGTATCAAGGTGGTTTCGAGTCAAAATTCTTCTTCAGGAGGCTTTGAGTCACAGAGCGCCGGCTTCTGTTCCTCGAAAACACCGTTACGAGCTGCATGGTTGCTCTTCTTCATGAATGAGAGAATTCGCAAATAAAAATTATTTTTCAGGGATTTCAATTTAAGTTGCTGGTTCTTCTTCGAGGGTTCTGGTTTAAGTGATAAGTTTCTTCATCTTCCGCGTTGGAGTTGTAATCACCTCTAGGTCGATATACTGGTTAATACGACAATATTTATAACCTATTATTTTTCTTTTTCTTTTGAAAACAATAACATATCGCGTTTATGGTTTTGGATTACAATGACCGAGAGTTGTAGTAATGGATTTAACCCTTTCCAATCCTGTGGCACTGGGGTCTACCTATCTATGGCCTTATTCACAACAAGAACAGCAATGCTCTCCAATAGTGACTAGTAGTAGGTTCAGCAATTCAAATAGGGAACTTTAGTCTCGAGTCTGCAGACAAAGTTAACTCTTTCACTCGATCATCATTCTACGAACAAAAATATTCAGTATCTGTCTATATTTCTAAGATGAGGTATTATGTACATTATTTACATTATTCGGACTATTGTCCTCATCTTTGTCGCCATATTTATTACAACGGCCGAAACGTTGTAATAAAAAGTTTCAGTTCACGAAATTATTTTCGGACAGTATCTTGCAAGGAGTGATGAAGTAGGTGGCGAAGATGAGAGAGATGTGATACCAGCTAAAATCTGCATTTCCTGCTAACTGCTTGTATCCCTGTTGATGACTGTCCTCTATTGCTTGTGAATCTCTGTATTTATGAGGAATACATTTCTTCCAACTGTCGGGTTACAAATCGTTTTGCGTAGTAACAGAGTTCGGTATGATGGGTTTTTTCATCCTCTTGTTAGATCCAACTGAATTCTTTATCCCAATAAGACAATCAAGGCATTATCAAGGGATTGTATTAAAAAATAAAATTCCATTATTGAATTTTAGCTAAGATCCGACCTGACATGTGTAAGCTGGTTTATCTCATTTTTCATTTTTATAACAGCAAGTTCGAGTGAAAGGTGAATGTTCCTTAATTCATCCAAGGTCCTAATTAATTTTAATTGTAGTAGTGCAGAGTTGAGAAGAGACATTTTATGTTTTAATTCTGCTACAAACGTTGTTGTAGGTGAAATGTCCGTCTTGTGATTAAAATACTGTCCAGGTAGTGTTAATGCTGATCCGAAAACTACCTCTACAGGTGTGCTTTGCAAATCTTCTTTCACCGTGTTTCTTATCGCTAAAAGAATTAGTCTGTCCAGTCCGCATTATTTAAATTCATAGCTAGAGAAGCTTTTAACTGTCTGTGGAATCTTTCAACCATCCCATTTGCACAAGGGTGATAGGCGGTTGTTTTGATGTGATTCGTTCCTAACAATTGGGTAAATTCAGCAAAAAGTGTTGATTGGAATTGTGAACCTCTATCTGTTGTTACTACTGAAGGTACTCCAAAAATTGCTATCCAGTCCTGCAGTATAACTCTGGCTATTGTTGCAGCTGAAGTGTCTTTGACTGCTATGGCTGTAGGCCATGTGCTAAATCTGTCAACTATAGTAAGAATATGTGTATGTCCTTTTGAGGTGGGTAAAGGTCCTACTAAGTCGATATGAATGTTGGTGAATCTAGTATCAGGTATGCTAAAAGTGTCAAGTGGTGATTTTTTGTGTCTGTGGATTTTGTTCTTTTGGCAAGGTATACAAGTTTTAGTCCAATTGCGAATGTCCGTGTTCATATTGGGCCAAACAAAGCGTTCTGCTATTAATTTTACAGTGGCTCTTTTTCCTGGATGAGATAAATTGTGAAAATGTTGAAAAACTAGTCGTCTGATGTTCGGTGGTATATATGGACGCGGATGTGTTTGTGATACATCACAATAAAATTTTGTTGTACCAAATGGTATCGGCATTTCTTTCAGTTGTAAGGATGTTTTTTGTTGTACAACTGGAAGTGTTTCATCTGTTTTCTGATCTTGTGCGATTAATTCCATACTTAAAGAACTGGAATTTAAAGAGGCTATTGTAGATCGAGATAATGCGTCTGCTATAATGTTCTCTTGTCCCTTAATATATCGGATGTCTGTGGAGAACTGGGCGATATAATCGAGATGTCCGATTTCTCGTGGACCATATTTATCTACATGTGTATGTAGTGCATATGTTAATGGTTTGTGATCTGTATAAATGCAAAAATTTCTTCCTTCCAGCAAATGTTTAAAATGTTTAATTGCAAGGTAAATTGCTAGAAGCTCCCTTGAAAATGTGCTGTATTTCGTCTGTGTCTTGCTTAGCTTAGCAGAAAAAAATAATATAGGAGTCATTGTGTTGTTAGCAAGTTGGTGTATGACTGCTACTACAGCTATTTCAGATGCCTCTGTTGTAAGCGGGAGTTTTGTGTCCTCGCTGTCCGTTACGTAGTTTAGTTTTGTAAAGTTGGCCAAAGCAGTTTTAGCTCGTTTGAAGGCTTCTAGGCTAGGCCCTTCTAACTTTAACTGTTGGTTCTTTGTTTTGTTTTGTAACAAATCTGTTAACGGTGCAAGTAATGTAGAACAGTTAGGTAAAAATCGTCTGTAATAGTTAATCACGCCTATGAATCTGCGTACTTGTCTGACTGATGTTGGTTGCGGGAAATTTGAAATTGCACTTACTTTCTCGGGTAGTGGAGATATTCCGTCCTTGTCAATTAAGTGTCCGAGGAAATTAACCTTTGGTTGGCTGAAAATGCATTTCTCTGTATTTATTTTCAAACCGTAATGTGATATTCTTTCAAATGTTTGCTCTAAGTGCTGTCTGTGCTCGTCGAGGTTTCTGCTGGCGATTAAAACGTCATCCACATATGCAAATATAAATGGCAGACCTCTAAAAACTTCGTCTATTAACCTTTGGAAGGTTTGACAGGCGTTCCTAAGCCCGAAAGGCATCCTTACGAACTCGTAAAGGCCAAATGGTGTGGTCAGTGCAGCTTTATGAATGTCCTTTTCTGCCACTGGAACTTGGTAGTACACCTTTACGAGATCCAATTTGGAAAATATGGTGGCGCCTTGCAGACCGATGGCGAAATCGTGGATATGTGGAATGGAGTATCTATCCGGGACCGTTTTAGCATTTAATCTTCTAAAATCGCCACAAGGACGCCATGTTGTAGCGTCGGACTTTTGCACCATGTGTAGCGGTGAAGACCAAGCACTTTTCGAGGGTCGGATAATCCCTTGCTGTAATAAATGTTGAAACTCGTTTTTCGCAATCTTATACTTGTCCGGTTTCAATCGTCTGGGGGTGGCGTAGACAGGTTGTCTAGTTGTCTTGATGTGGTGCGTGGCATTATGTTTTATGGTGTCTGTGTTTTTAAATGGCTGGGAGAGTTGTGGATATTTTTTTATTAGCTGACTGATGTACTGGTCCTCGGGTAAGGCAGAACTGATTCCAGTAGACTGGTATTTCGAGGTGAGTCCTCTTACTGAAATCTTGGTTTGATTATCCACCAGTGTGCGATTAGTCATGTCGACAGACAGGTTGAATCTGGCTAAAAAATCTGCCCCCAATATAGGCGTTGTTACACTGGCTATGGTAAAATTCCAGAAAAAATTCCGTCGCATGCTGAGATTGATATTGAGCGATTTCTCTCCGTAAGTTGGTATTTTGGTACCGTTAGCTGCTTGAAGATAATAAGACTGTGGCATAGTCTCCTGATTTTGTGTTGGTGGTATCACGCTTATTTCAGCTCCGGTGTCTATTAAAAAGTTATATCCATTAATTTTGTCGCGGATATAAAACAGACGACCTTTTGTTAAAAATCCAGCAACAGCCGTCGTCTCTACTAGCTGGAATTTCCGTTTCCCGCATTCGCGTTGTTGAAAGAACAAGGACGTGTACAACGTCTCGCCTCAGGACCAAACCTTTTGTGGTAGTAACAAATTTCATCTTCTCGATTGCGGTTGTCAGTCCGGTCTCTGCTGAAACTTCGCTTTCTGTAGCCTGGACATTTATCGCGGCGGTACTGTCGGTCTTTTTGCAAGCCTTGTAATTGTATAGACAACCTTTCTAGAGTAGACTTGAGGTCGTTAAATTCCCTGTCTCTTTGTTGGGCTGGTTGTGGTTGGATAGAGTTTACCCCGCGGCTTCGAAAACTTTCATGGATCCGATCTGCAATGTCCGCGAGTTTTTCTGTCTGCGTTTCCTTCGTCATGGGTGCGAAGATTTGTGTTGTTGTAGTGGGTAACTTGTCCAGCCATAAGCTCCGCATAATGTTCTCGGACATTTTGTTGTCACCCAGTAAGGTTCGCATGTGCCTCAATAACTGCGATGGGGTGCGGTCTCCTAATTCAACCTGAGTGAAAAGGTTGCGTAGCATGGCTTCGTTCGAGGCACCGGTCCGTTTTAAAATGCTTCCTTGAGCCTATCGTACGGGTTGTCATCCGGGACATTTTCCAGTAAATCCATTACTTCCTCGACGATGTCCGCTGGCAGTTTTTCCACTACCGGGTTCTCTGGGAGGTGATTCGCTTCGCATCAAATAATGCCTGGATTTGAACGAACCAGGACTTAGTGTTAGTCGTGTTGAAAGCCGGGATATTCAACGATAGTGTGGCGAGAGGGGTTTCCGAAGATTGTGATTCCATTGTGTCCTTCCTATTCGTTTTGTTTGTTTTTTAAAATGTAGTGTCTTACGTCGGTCCCCAATTTGTAGAGTGTGCAAAGAAGTCCCTCAAACAAATAATAAAAGGAAAATGCACTACAAATAAAGTAAAATAAACTTTTGTTTATTTTTGTAAAAAAAAAATATATAAGAATTATTTTTTTTCTTGTACAAAAATGAAATTGTCCGTAAAGCTGCGGAAGAAAAAGAGAAAGAAAGGAACTGGGAATGTGAGAGGGAAAGGTAGGACTATGTGTAGCGAGCGAGATGAGAGAAAGAGAGGGTGAAAGAATGTTCACTGATACGTGATACTGCCTGTTGTGTGAACTGCTGAATTCTGTGTGTGTGTGTGTGTGTGTGTGTGTGCTCGAAGCTGTCCGTGTTGCTTTGATGTCAGCTTGTCGCTGTTCTCTCTCCGTTCTGATGAGAGTTTCTACCTTCCTTATATAAGAATGATGAGGCTCCGGGGAGATTAAGAAATGGGTTTCTTATGTCGAGCCCTGATTGGTCAATAAATCATATTTTTGACCACGTGGTGTGCTTTTCACTACGTCCGAACTTTTGGGTGCGCCGTCCTTGTTTTTGACCCCACAGGGTATGGTAAGGAGTGGATTCCCGCGCAATTGTATTTTTTAGATACACGTGGTGTGAATTAATTTTTATTGTGTGTATGTGTGTGTGGAAAATAAAATAAGAAACAGCACAGATATCTAAGCTTTTCACATCAACATCTCAAGTTAATTCACATTTCAATCAGCACCAAGTATAGCTTCATTAACTGATAAAATCAATTACCGGTAACTCTTACAAGTTTTTTTTTTTTCTGATGAGAGCTAATGTTTTATTTGTATTGAAATATTAGTTTATATTTTATATTTAAAATGTAAACTAATTACAGTATTTTAGTTTATACTAGTTTAGATTTTTTTAGTAAGTGTCATCTCCATGTTTAAGTATTTTCTAACAAAATTATATTTTTTAAAAAAGAAAAACATTATTTTGTAATATTTTAAAATGTTATTATGTTTTTAATTGTTTAATTGTCACTTTAATTGTTTTTTTATAACACAAATGAAATAACTCTATTTTATCAACTAAAGAGGAAATAATGTATGCTGACAAAAACGTTAGGTAAAAATGGTTGCCTTGAGAAAAAAGTAACATATCGAAATAATATTTGGTTCCTCGAAGGCATGTAGACATATGACAGAATGCCTGTAGCATACTAGTGCACACCTATCGATTAAATAACTATCTCAATGGATACTGGTTCATGCTCTCCTACTTTTTTTATAACTGCAGTTCTAGTCATATTGATTTTGAACATAGTCTATGTATGACCATGTTCTGATTTTAAACAATTTTGACAATTAATTCGGAAAATAAGAGCGTTGAATTAATTCCTTTAGTTCATAAAAATTAACGGAGACAATTTTTTTAAAAGTTGTTTAATGTTTACCAATATTTTTGTCTCTACAATTGATTTGACAAAATTTTTAAATTGTTAATCGTTTATTTAAGTTTTTCTAAGTTCTTTTATCTAAATATTTCCCGCTAATTTATCAGAATGTTGTGGTGGGTTGGGGCAAATGACACCCTCCCCTTCTGGCTCGTACATTTATGCTCATGGTTCCCAGTTGCTTTCCCCTTTTCTGATGAAGTAATGAAAACAAATGTAATAAAATGATTTTGCAACTTGTACAAGTCTTGCTCAATTATATCCAATCAGACCGTAGAATATATTTAATGTCTGAAGAACTTGGGAAGTTTTTTTTTACATGAGACAAGCTATGAGCCAGACGAATCTTACAATCTTCAAAGTAAAAAGTTATAAAACACCTACAGTAAAATGGAAGTTAATAAGAAAAGCTAGAATTTGTAGATCATTAAACGACCCGTGTCCTCTATGCATACAAGAGAAACTATATATTACTAAGTTTATAAAAAATAAAAATTTACTGAATCAGAGAAATGAAATAGCTATTATATGCCGTCATTGTCAAAAATTTTCCTTAAATAATATTAAAAAAAAAAAAAAAAAAAAGTCTATTGGAATGGCAGGAAAAATGTTTTAAACTTGTATTTAAAATTTTAAATTGTAGTTAAAATGTATTCAAACATAAGCATCTTTTAAAAATTGTAGTTAAATAAAATGTATCCTAACCGAAACACCTCTATAATAAATGTACTACAAACACTTGAATGAATCCAATAAAACACCTACTGAAAAATGAAATTATAACAAAAGCTAGATGATGTAAGGTAATGTATGACCCATTGTTCTTTGTACATACATATGAAACTTTATTACTCAGGTTACATATATTTAAAATAAATAAATTAATTAATTAATGCATAAAGTTTACTAAATCTGAGAAATGACTTAGATAGTTTTGTAGTCTGTGCCATTCATATTACTTAAATAATATTTAAATATAATAGTTTAAAAATTGTAATTTACATATACTTTGATATGGAAAAATAATTTTACTTACTATGAGTAATTATCCTTCTGTTATAAAAGTAATATATTCTATTAAAACTAACAATGATAATATTTTAAAATTTTAAAGTGGTAATTTTAAAATTGTAATTAAAATTGTAGTTAAATAAAATGAATTTTAACCTGTTCTTTTTTACATACATATGAAACTTTATTACTTAGGTTACATATATTTAAAATAAATAAATAAATTAATTAATAAATAAAGATTACTAAATCTGAGAAATGACTTAGCTAGTTTTGTAGTAAGTTCCATTAATATTACTTAAATAATATTTAAATATAAAAGTTTAAAAATTGTAATTTACATATACTTGCATATTGAAAAATAATTTTACTTACTATGAGTAATTTTCCTTCTGTTATAAAGTAATATAGTCTATTAAAACTAACAATGAAAATATTTTAAAAGTTTAAAGTTTGTAATTTTAAAATTGAAATTAAAATTATAGTTAAATTAAATGAATTCTAACCTAAATTTCTTTTAAATAATACTACACGCACTAAAAAGAATAAAAAAAAAACACCTATAGTAAAATAAAATTAATATGAAATGCCATAAGATGTAAGTTTTTGAATGAGCCATGTCCTTTGTACTTACATGAGAAACATTATATTACTAGGTTTATATATAAAGTAAAAGTTTACTAAATCAGTGAAATTAAGTTACCATTTTTGCCATCATAGTCATCATAAAATTTAATAAAAAAAAAAAAAAATGTAACCTCCTCATTATACTTAAACTTGAATTAATACATAAAGTTTACTAAATCTGAGAAATGGCTTAGATAGTTTTGTAGTCTGTGCCATTAATTTTACTTAAATAATATCTAAATATAAAAGTTTAAAAATTGCAATTTACATATACTTTGATATGGAAAAATAATTTTACTTACTATGAGTAATTATCCTTCTGTTATAAAGTAATATAGTCTACTAAAACTAACAATGAAAATATTTTAAAATTTTAAAGTTGTAATTTTAAAATTGTAATTAAAATTGTAGTTAAATAAATTGAATTCTAACCTGTTCTTTATACATACATATGAAACTTTATTACTTAGGTTACATATATTTGAAATAAATTAATTAATTAATAAATAAATAAATTTTTACTAAATCGGAGAAATGACTTAGCTAGTTTGTAGTAAGTGCCATTAATATTACTTAAATAATATTTAAATTTAAAAGTTTAAAAAAAAAAAAAAAATTGTAATTTACATATACTTTGATATGGAAAAATAATTTTACTTACGATGAGTAATTTTCCTTCTGTTATAAAGAAATATAGTCTATTAAAACTAAACAATGAAAATATTTTAGAATTTTAAAGTTGTAATTTTGAAATTGTAATTAAAATTGTATTTAAATTGAATGAATTCTAACCTAAATTTCTTTTAAATAAAACTACACGCACTAAAAAGAATCCAAAAAAAACACCTATAGTAAAATAAAATTAATATGAAATGCCATAAGATGTAAGCTTTTGAATGACCCATGTCCTTAGTACTTACATGAGAAACATTATAATACTAGGTTTATATATAAAATAAAAGTTTACTAAATCAGTGAAATTAAGTAACCATTTTTGCCGTCATAGTCATAAATTTAAAAAAAAAAAAAAAAAAACTCATATACATACTTAAACTTGATGTTAAAAATAATCCTACATAATATAATGGATTCTAATACATTTAACTGTTCTTAAAAAGAATATAGTAAAATAAAAATTAAAAAGAAGAATATTTCAAATCGTAGTTAAATAAAAAGTATTAGGAAAAAAAAAAAAAAAAAAAAATTTAAATTTAAAAAAAAAAAATGACATTGAAATTTTTTTACCGTTAACAATTTTTTTAAAAAATTCAAACGACATCCATTCAACTGATGTCAGGTTTCATTGTAAAATACATCCCTACCCCTTACCAAATTGTAGCTAATAACTGATACAATGATACTGACATAAGGAAAATCTAGACATCCCTTGTTCAATTTAAAGTAGAATATTCTGTAACCATGGAAACGTGATTTTAGCTGTGTCTTTAAAACCCGGTAATTTTTAAAAGTTACTCCAAAATTCGCTTGAAGATGAAATGGAACTAATGCTTTTAATTTAATTGCAAAATTAAATTCAGGGTTTTTAGCTTCTATTTTTTGAAACATGGTTGGAACTGTGTAAAAAAAAAAAACATATTTTAAATCAATTAATTTATAA